AAGCGTTATTCAACTCCTTAGTCCTGGTTTTATATTCTTGTGGCTTTGTTAAGAATGACTGCATTGTTTGGTTGATTCATGAAAGATGTCCCTAGAGTCTTTTTTAAGAATCTGTAATCCTTTAGATATATTAACTGGTCAGTTGTTATGGCAACAAGCATTAAATATATTGTCTTCGTATCCTTTAKAAATGACTGATTACAATTAATATTTCACTAAAATTGTTGAAAAACGACTGCTAAGCGTTTTCATTTCATTATGATAAGACTTTGGGATATAMAATGAATAAGATATAACAGACGTTTGCACAAGCCAGAAAGAATTTAATGCTCTATTACAAGCCGTCGAAATTGCCATAATGTATGTTGTCTGTGTGGGATCAGTAACCATGACAATAGGATGAAACATAAATAGTAAAAGTTTTGGATTCTTAAGCTTTTTCAAAGCCATTTTTATAAAGTAATATTYTGCTTCCTTGATTAAAACGGGACGCTAAATTATATTAATTCCAATGATGGAAAAGTGTCAAGAAAAGCAATAATAAACAAAGCTTTATAGCGGCTTGTCTGAATATGACTAGTCGATGYCATATAGCAAACAGAAGAAAGCTTAGTGGCCCGAGTCAGCTGACACAGGAATCCCAATCCAGGAAGAAAAATGAGAAGGTTATGCACCCTTTTAATAAGTCCCCAGGTATTTTTTTCTCCGCACTTGACGTMAAATTCATTCTTTTGAAATTTTTACAATACAAAAGGAATTCAAAAGAATACATTTGACGTCAAGTGCGAAKAACGTAATACCTCGGGACWTATTAAAAGGGTGTATACAGGAGGGCCGKGGAAATCAATAAAAGTAAGAGTTTGCGAAAAACCTTAAGGCACGATAATGACAGAATTACTAKGTAAAGAACTGACTGGACAATCAGTATAAATTAATAATGACAAAGAGTTCTTTAATGAAGAAATTCTGTCATAACTCTTTAAATTGAACTTCAAATTCAAATTATCAGTGAATTTTATTGATTAAATTCTTAATACCGATATTTGTAGTTCATTTTGCAATAATTGAGAATGAATCCGTCATTACAATTCAAGACAAATTATAACTATGAAAGTATCCATACTGGCTATTTCTCTGTGATCAATACATGGAGCTTATATCGTATAATTATATAGAAAATATAATCTGATACTATAACAAAAATCTTGTCATCAGTTCTAATCTAGAACCCATCAAAATTGACATACCATTTAACAAATTGTYATCAACTGTTCATCACTGTTCAAATTAATATGCATGACTTCGTCTTGACACCATTACCAGCCTCTTTGCCACCTTCCTGGCCACCATCACCTGCGCTAGACGAAGCTGGTGCATCCTCCTTCTTCTCGTTAGAACTCGGAGTCGCCTCGGGTGTACCTGCTGTGGTAGCTCCTTCTTCATTCGGCTTGTCAGCTGCACTCGATGCAGGATCAGGTTTTTCTGGGGTGGCCGCTGACTCGTCTTGCTTTGGTTGGTCAGTGGATGCATTTTCAGCTGGTTCGGGTTCATTGGAAGCTGCTGGTTCATCTTGCTTTGATTGGTCAGTTGCTATCTGAGCAGGTTCGGGTTCTTCCTTCGGTTTATCGGTTGTATTAGGCACAGGTTCTGGTGAAGTGTCAGCAGTTGATTCGTCTTTGGGATCCTCAGCTGCAGTCTGGTCAGTAGCCTCATCCTCCATTTTTGACAGCTCGTTGGCACACTTGATCATGTCTTGGACAAGATCACATTCTTTGAACCCCAATCGTCGCCAGTTTGAGATGTCAATCCTGTCAATCACCTCTGAATGCTCTCCGGTCGATCCTCTCGCCTGACAGCCTCGTTCTCTTGCAAACTCGTCGATGGCTTTAAAACCCATGGACTTGATGAGTTTAGGAACCAGTATATGAACAGAACCTCTCATACCCGTCCCTAGGTTGGTCGGACAGCACGTAATGCAGCCATGACTTGAATTGCGCATGAAGACTTCTTCAACTCCAAGCTCCTTCTTCAGTCCTTCCTCAATAGCGGCAATACCACGTGACAAGCGATCAAAGACGCGTTTGACGTCACCTCCCTTCTCCATGGAGATAATTCTCAGATGGTCCCCTTCGTTGATCCAAAGAAGGAACTCTTTGTTGTGAGACACAAAGATGCCACGCCCATGGGGCCAGTGCTCGTGGTAGCCTGATGCTGCCTGCATCTTGTCTTTACCTCGGAACAAGAAGTGGTCATCAATCAGTTGTTGCTGCTGTTCAGGGGTCATTGTGGTATGACGGTAGAA